GTGTCCCCCCCGTGTCCCCGGGTGTCCCCACCGTCGGTGCTGGCATCATCCACGAGGATGACCTCCCTGAGCAGGCTGGCGGGGGCCGAGTGCAGGACGCTGTAGACGGTCCGGAGCAGGGTGGACCAGGCCTCGTTGTGGAACACGATCACCACGCTGGTGCTGGGCAGGGGCGGGCAGCGCTTGAACTTCTGGTCGATGCACCTTTGGGGACACGCGACGGGGGGGGTTTGGTGGCGGGGGGAGAGACGGGAACGAGCCCTGGGGCCCCCCAGAGCCCGCAGCGGGAGGGCGGCTCCGGCTCATCCCGGCTTTGATTCCCATTCCTGACCCCCCCGGCTCATCCCGTCTTTGATTCCCATTCCCCCCCCCCCCGGCTCATCCCGGCTTTGATTCCCATTCCCGACCCCCCCTCTCGACTCATCCCGGCTTTGATTCCCGTTGGTTTTGGTTGAGCGAGTCCCATTCCCGACCCCCCCGGCTCATCCCGGCTTTGATTCCCATTCCCGATCCCTCTCAGCTCATCTTGTCTTTGATTCCCATTCCCCACTCCCCCCCGCCTTTGATTCCCGTTCCCGCCCCCCCTTTGTCCCCGCCGATCGCAGATAATCGATCGAACGGGGGGGGCTCCTCTTCTCCCTCCCATTCCCGGCTTTTCCCAGCCCGAATTCCCGCCCCCCCGGCGCAGACAGGGCTGGGGGGTCCCCCGTGGTTAATCCGGCAGCGAGGAAATCCCTGGATTTCCCCCGTTCCCCTCCTGCCCCCCGTCTGTCCCCGCACACCCAGCGGGCTCCGAGGTTGTTCCACCCGGCTGAGAAAAGAAAAAGTGGGATTTCTGGAGCGGGCGGGAATAAAAGAGGGAGAGAGGAGGGAGAGGGGGGAGATCCCGGAGCCCCCGAGCAGGTACCGGAGACACAAAGAGCGCGGGGCCCCTAAACCCGACCCGGGGGCCGGAACTGGGGGAAATGTTCATAAACAGGGGCGGGGTTCGGCTCTGCCGCCCTTTTTCAGCTCCCGGCGCCGGGAGATTCCCCGTCCCCAGGCGGGGTTGTGTCCCCCGGAACTTCGGGGAAGGGGGGCAACAATTTAAGGGAATGAGGGGCCAAATTCAAGGGAATAAGTGGCCAAATTTTAAGGAATATTGGCCAAATTCGAGGGGAAAAGGGACAAATTCGAGGGGAAAAGGGACAAATTTGAGGGAATGAGTGGCTAAATTTTAAGGAATATGTGGTCAAATTTAAGGGGAATAATTGGCCAGAATTTAAGGAATAAGTGGCCAAATTTTAAGGAATAAATGGTCAAATTGAAGGGGAATAATTGGCCAGAATTTTAAGGGAATAAGTGGCCAAATTTTGGGAATAAGGGGCTAAATTTTAAGGGAACACGTGGCCGAACTTAAGGGAATAAATGGCCAAATTGTAAGGAATAAGTTACCAAATTTTAAGGAATAAGGGCCAAATTTAAGTGAATAAGCGGCCAAACTTTAAGGTATAAGGGCCAAATTTTAAGGGAATAATTGGCCAAACTTTAAGGGAATAAAAGGCAGAATTGTAAGGGAATAAAAGGCAGAATTGTAAGGGAATACGTGGCCAAATTTGAGGAATAAGGGACCAAATTTAAGGGAATAACAGTAACATTTTAAGGCATCAGAGCCAAATTTAAGGAAGTAAGTGGTCAAATTTTAAGGGAATAAGGGCCAAATTTAAGAAATAATTGGCCAAATTTTAAGGAATAAGGGTAAAATTTAAGGGAATAGGGGCAACGTTTTAAGGCATCAGGGTCAAATTTAAGGGAACAAGGGCCAAATAAAAGGAACAAGAGCCAAATTTAAGGAATGGGGTCCAAATTTGAGGAACAAGGGCCAAACTTAAGGGAATAAGTGGCCAAATTTTAAGGGAACAAGTGACCAAATTTTAAGAGAATAAGTGACCAAATTTTGAGGAATAAGTGGCCAAATTTAAGGGAATAAGTGGCCAATTTTAAGGAATAAGGGCCAAATTTTTGGCAATAACGGTAACATTTGAAGGCACCGGGGCCGAATTTAAGGGGAATAAGGACCCAATTTTAAGGGAATAAGGGTCAAATTTAAGGGAACGAGGGCCAAATTTCACTGAATGGCCAAACTTAAAGGAATGGGGGCCAAATTTTAAGGAATAAGTGGCCAAATTTTAAGGAATAAGGGTAACATTTTAAGGCATCAGGGTCAAATTTGAGGGAACGAGGGCCAAATTTAAGGGACTAAGGGTCAAATTTGAGGGAACGAGGGCCAAATTTAAGGTAAGAAGTGGCCAAATTTTAAGGAATAAGTGACCAAATTTAAGGGAATCAGTGGCTAAATTTTAAGGGATTACGTGGCCAAACTTAGGGGAATAAGTGACCAAATTTTAAGGAATAAGGGTCAAATTTTAAGGAATAAGTGGCCAAATTTTAAGGCAATAAAAGGTGGGATTGTAAGGGAATAAATGGCCAAATTTAAGGCAATAATGGTAAAATTTAAGGGAATAAGTGACCAAATTTTAAGAAATAAGGGCCAAATTTTTGGGAATAACGGTAACATTTGAAGACACCGGGGCCAAATTTAAGGGAACTGGGGCCAAATTTAAGGAATAAATGGTCAAATGTTAAGGAATAAGTGGCCGAACTTTAGGGAATAAGGGTAAAATTTAAGGGAATAAGGGTAACATTTTAAGGCATCAGGGCCAAATTTTAAGGAATGAGGGCTAAATTTAAGGGAATAAGTAGCCAAATTTAAGGGAATAAGTGGCCAAATCTGAGGAATAAGGGCCAAATTTGAGGAATAAGGGCCAAATTTGAGGAATAAGGGCCAAATTTGAGGAATAAGGGTCAAATTTAAGGAATAAGGGTCAAATTTCTGGGAATAAGGGTAACATTTGAAGGCACCGGGGCCAAATTTAAGGGAATAAAAGGCGTAATTGTAAGGGAATAAGTGGCCAGACTGTGAAGGAATAAGTGGCCAAATCTGAGGAATAAGTGGCCAAATCTGAGGAATAAGGGCCAATTTTGAGGAATAAAGGGCCAAATTTTTGGGAATAAGGGTAACGTTTGAAGGCACCGGGGCCAAATTTAAGGGGAACAAGTGACCCAATTTTAAGGGAATAAGGGCCAAATTTTAAGGAATGAGGGCTAAATTTAAGCGAATAAGTGGCCAAATTTGAGGGAATAAGTGGCCAAATCTGAGGAATAAGGGCCAAATTTAAGGGAACGAGTACCGGATTCGCGGGCCCCCGCGGTTTTGGGGCTCTTACTCGGGGGGGCGGCTGTCGGGCCCCAGCGCCCTGTGCAGGGAGATGCGGTCGCTGGCGAAGGCGTTGAAGCAGTGCTTCTCGTAGCCCTTCTCCTTCTCCCTGCTCTCCTCGGGGCTCCAGCGCTCCTTCTTGAAGGCTTTCCCGTCGGCGCCGGGGCTGGCGGGGTCCTGGGGGGGTCTCTCGAGGAGGGGTCTCAGCTCGGCCGCCGTGTAGACCCCGGGCGGGCAGGAGCGGCCCCCGGGGGGCAGCGGGGCCCGGGGCGGGGGCTGCGGGGCCCCGATCTGCAGTTTGGGCATCGAGTCGCGCAGGTTGTGGACGGCGCCGAGCATCAGGTCGAGCACCTGCGCCTTGCCCTGCGCGATGTTCCGCAGCCACGGCTCCTGCTCGCCCCGCGCCCGGCGCGCCGCGTCCCGGGGCAGCGGGAAGAGGAAGAGGAGGAGGAAGGCGGCGCCCGCCAGAGCCGCCTTCAAGGGGCCGGAGCGGCGGCGGAAAAAACGCATTTTGGGGGGTTTTTGGGGGGTTTTTTGGAGGTTCCTGCGAGGTTTCAGGCGTGGTTCGTGATGCGCTGCTCGGCTCCGGGAAGCTGCGGGGAGGAGAAAGACCCGCGGGTTAAATCGCTCTGGGTGCGAGCCCTGGGTGTTAAAATATTATATATGTGTTATATTAATGAATATATTTATTATTATCATCATTATATAATATATATTAT